CTCCTGTGAGAACCTCAGTCCGTCCCAGATCGATAATTTTGTCGATACTGCTACAAGCTCTTTGAGAGTGGCGCTGGATGCTATTGCTCCTCTGGAAAGAAGAATAGCAACAAGAAGGAAGTCTGCTCCGTGGTATAACCCTCAAACACGGAACCTAAAGCAAACTGTGCGGAAACTTGAACGATTATGGCGTTCCACCAAATCAGAAGGATCTAGGCTAGTTTGGCAAGACAGCCTTAAAACGTATAAGAAGGCTCTCAGTAACGCAAGAGCATCTTATTACTCATCATTAATAGAGAAAAATAGAAACAACTCCAGGTTTCTCTTCAGCACTGTAGCCCGACTGACAGAGAGTCACAGCTCTGTCGAGCCGTGTATTCCTTTGGACCTCACTAGTAACGACTTCATGAACTTCTTCAATGATAAGATTCTGACTATCAAAGAGAAAATTGATGGTCTCCTGCCTTCAACCAGTGCCGACCTGTCCTCCGATGTAGGAACCTTGGATGCAGCAGTGGGCCCTGAGGCCTGTTCTGATGCCTTCTCTTCCATCAACCTTGATCAACTGACTTCTTATTTTCAAAGTCTAAATCTTCTACTTGTCTCTTGGATCCAATTCCGACCAAGCTGCTTAAGGAAATTTTTCCTTTAGTTAGCACATTCTTATTAGATATTATGAATCTGTCTTTGTTGACAGGACATGTACCACAGTCCTCCAAGGTAGCTGTAATTAAACCTCTTCTTAAGAAACCTACTTTTGCTCCAGAGGTGTTGGCTAACTACAGACATATCTCTAATCTTCCCTTCCTCTCTAAGATCCTTGAGAAATCTGTCGCAAATCAATTATGTGACTTTCTACAAACAGTGCTTTGTTCGAGGATTTCCAGTCAAGATTTCGAGCGCATCACAGTACAGAAACAGCACTATAGACCATTGTATCCTGTTGCAGAGACTAGAACATTTAATTGGTATCAAAGGAACTGCACTCAGCTGGTTGAAATCCTACTTATCGGATCGATCCCAGTTTGTGCTTGTAAACGGTGAATCCTCAAAGACCACCAATGTTGGTCACGGAGTCCCACAAGGTTCTGTACTTGGACCGATTTTATTTACCCTCTATATGCTTCCTTTGGGCGATCTTATCAGGAAACACCGCATAAACTTCCATTGTTATGCAGACGATACTCAACTGTATCTGTCGATCAAGCCAGAAGAGACGGATTAGTTAGTTAGACTTCAAGAATGTCTTGGAGACATCAAAACTTGGATGACCGGCAACTTCCTGATGCTAAACTCAGAAAAAACGGAAGTTATCCTGATAGGCCCAGAGCGCCTTCGGAGCCAGCTGTCACGTGATACAGTTTTTATGGATGGAGTTGCTCTGGTACCCAGCAGCACCGTCAGGAATCTGGGAGTTCTCTTCGACCAGGATATGACCTTCAACTCGCATATAAAGAAGACTTCAAGGACTGCCTATTTTCATCTACGTAACATATCAAAAATCAGGAACTTCCTGTCTCAAAGTGATGTAGAAAAATTAGTTAATTGCGTTTGTCACTTCCAGACTGGACTACTGTAATTCCTTGTTATCGGGCTGCTATTGTAAATCTCTTAAGCCTCTCCAGTTGATTCAGAATGCTGCAGCACGTGTATTAACAAGAACTAAGAAAAGGGATCATATCACTCCTGTATTAACTTCTCTGCACTGTCTCCCTGTTAAATCAAGAATATATTTTAAGGTACTTCTCCTCACCTACAAGGCACTTGCTGGTGAGGCACCGACGTATCTTAAAGAGCTTGTAACACCGTATTGCCCTACAAGGCAGCTGCGCTCCATAGATGCTGGGTTACTTGTTGTTCCTATGGTTTTAAAAAGTAGGCTGGGAGCCAGAGCCTTCAGTTATCAAGCTCCTCTTTTGTGGAACCAGGTTCCACTTTCAGTAAAGTAAAACTTAAAACTTTCCTCTTTGATTCTGCCTATAGTTAGGGCTGGCTCAGGTTAGCCCGGACCAGCCCTTAGTTAAGCTGCTATAGGCTTAGACTGCCAGGGGACTTCTTAGGACACACCGAGCTCCTCTCACGCTCTCGTTGTACCATAATTCACGTTTTATTAATGCAAATGACTAATTCAGCTTCTTTCCGGGAGTTGTTTTTTTTGTGCTTTCTCCCCTAGCAGGTCTACGTAGATCGTTGTTCCTTCTGGACCCTGGTCCTGACACCGACCGTGGCCCTGCTGACGCCTGCTGCTGCCATCATCATCATAATCATCATTATTATTTTAGATATTAATCATATTACTGTACTCGTAAACCAACATTACCCTCTCCTAAAGTCTCTGTGCTCTCCCTCCCCACAGGCTTCTGTAGATGGTGGGTCTATCTGATGGTGGTTTCCCCTGCAGTGGTCCTGCTGTGTGCCTGGCTTACTACTCACAATTACATGAATCATTTCTGTCATAGGAATTGCATGTATTATACATTGTTCATTCTGTACACATGGCATCCATTGTAGTCTGTCCATCCCGGGAGTGGGATCCCTCCTCTGACGTTCTCCCTAAGGTTTCTTCCCTTTTTTCCCTCTTGGAAGGGTTTTTTCATTTTTTGGGGAGTTTTTCCTGTGCCGATGGTGGGTTTTGGGACAGAGGATGTTGTATGTGTACAGACTGTAAAGCCCTCTGAGGCAAATTTGTAATTTGCGATCTTGGGCTATACAAAATAAAATGAATTGAATTGAACTCTCTGGTCCCCCTTTTTGAAGAGGGGTACCACACTGGAAAAAATCAAAATCTTACCAAGTATATTTGTCTCATTTCTAGTCAAAATATCCCATTACACTTAATATAAGATACAAATGCCTACCACATACGATTTCAGCAAGATATAGGGACTTGTTTTAAGACAATACATCTTGAATATCTTGTTAAGTGAAAAGGTCTTGAAAACATCTAGTTTTGAGTCATATGTCATATGAAACAAGCTTTTTTAACTTTTGAAGAGATTTTTAAGCTGCTGTGTTGTTTGCAAAAGATAAATCATCTTGTTTCAGAAATTAGACTTTTTTGATTTAAGAAAATATATCTTGTTTATAGGAAATCCTTAAGTTTCAACGGATTTGGACGAAAACTCATAGTTCTGGAGTCTCTGCTGTTTGCCTCATGGTGATCACAAGACTAGGGATTCCCAGAATGTTGAACTATTCTTTCAATCAAGTTTATCAGCATCCACAAAAATATTGGCTTGAGCTAGGTAGGGAACTTGTACCTCATAAGATAAATAATGATCATTCCACTCATTTATAGAGAGAGGCTGGCATTCAAAACAATACAGTGAAGAATTTACTATGTAGATGTTTTTCACAAGTCCAGACTCTGGAGTACTATTGATGACATTACAAATAACCAAAGTTTTCTCACATCTACACTTATTTCCATGTTGCATTATCCACTTTACCGAAACTATATGTTGAAGGTTCTGTATTTCTAAGAAGTCTTTAATCTTTCCTTCTACGTAGTGAACATTTTGAACCTCAGAGACTGGGCCGATATCAACTTGACTTGAAAAAATTGGATGTGTCTCATGCACATTCTGACTACATTCATGCATGCTCTTTAACAAAACCAGCATCTGCCCTGCTGACTGTTTCAGTTTATTGTCATTTGATGACAGTGTATTGACCGATATGGGGCAAGGCTTATCTCTTACATCCAAAAGAGAGTAAAGGATAACAATAATTGCACTGTTGAATGCGTCTAACTCCATATGCTCTGAAAGCACAAAATGGTTTAAAACACATTTGATTTCATATGGGGCAACACCTTCAAGAATAATATGCATGATGTCTTGTGGAGTTTGATTATATCAAAGTGAGGAAATTCTGTTAATTTGCTTCTCCTATTAATACCATATAATACCAAGATTTTCTTTCAGAAAGTCAGTGCTTGCTTTTTTAATGTCTCTACATTGTCGATATGACTTGTCATGGTCCTTTTAACAAACAAATCTTCATTAAATTGCTCCTGCATGTCGTCAAAGTTGCATTCAAGTGTCTGCATTTACTGTAAGCAAACCCTACTCCTTCCTTAAATCCAGCCACTTCATGTTGAGCTAGAGTGTCTCCACACACAGTCATAAGCGCCCCAAAAATTGTCTTCTCACCATTTGCAGTGACAACTTTTAACACTATCATACAGCTCAATCAAGTCACAATTAATGCTCTCAAGCACCTTATCAATACCACAATCAGAAATATCTTTTGATTTTACCATGGCAAGCAGACGAATGGCAGCAAGTCTTGATCTGTATTTAGGGTTGATGTTACCTAAGGTGTAATAAATCAATAACAATTTGTTTTTGCTTGCCCGAGATCCAAGAGGATTGCACAATTCAATTTCATTTGTATATAAAATGAATTGCAATGCTGTGGGGACTCTCAAAAACAGTGGGTGTGATTTTAAAAATGTCTCCATCAATACAATCGTGAAAAAATCCATCCCGGCATGGCTGTGGCCCCTGATCAATCATTGCAAGAACTCTTGGATGCATTAACAGCTGTTCCAAACTTCAACAATGGTATATAATAAAAGTAATGGTGTTCAATGGTAAGAACTCTCATAACATACCGTATTTTTTTATATAATCGTCTCTGGTTCAACTGGCTGTAACAGTTCTTTGATTGTTTTATCCTGCAAATGTGTTGTAGCGATTTGACTGAAAGGGTCATTAAACTGGTCAAATACTCCCATCACATCACTCTTCAGTTGACCAAGGTCCCCAGAATGTGTCTGAATCATGTTATGTTATACACTCATATAGTCACTAGGACAGCCATCAATGCCACACACTATGCGAAAGTCAGGGCTGCGACTGTGTAAAGAGTTGATGTGACTCAATGTTTTTCAGTGTAAACGCCACAAAAATGTAGCATATGAAACAACGGCAGATCATCTTGGAGGAGCAAGGTTCCTAACGTTAAGGCGAGTGCAGCAAGCCAACATGTTATATCCAGCCCGGGAGAAATTACCGGTAGTTTATCAAGTTCTTATTTAGTTATCTTTACAGAATAATTCATCTGAAATGGGCAACAATTTAGTCAAGCTATACACAAATATAACACATTCCTAAAAACACTCAAAAACTAGTTGTTTTTAATTAATTTGAAAAAAATAATTAATGCCATAAACCCCTGTTTTGTAAATGGTAGCAGTCTACGGCTCAGCAGTGGGCAGGCTGTCCCGCTATTTTACGTTAGTCCTCATTAAAGATTAAACAAAAAAGAGAGAGGACACACTCTACTACTATTTCCGTCTCTGAAAAACAACGCGTTTTATTCAAAATCTGAGCATAATACAGTGAGCATAATACAGTCACTAGTTCTTTGAAGGAGTGAGACGTCTTACTCGTTTGTCGTGTCTGTTGAAAGTTGGGCATGCGCAGTACGGAACACAGACGGCTCACTGGAGGGAACGTTACAGGTGCGTAATTAAGCTGCCTCGTCCGAGACGGTTTGAATTCGTATTTCATTGCAGGTTAAGTTGTATCGAATATCTCAGTTTTTTTAGTCCAATACATTTTAAATATTATATTTAATATTATTTGTTGTGTACACTGTTGCAGCCGAGCACAAGCTAACGTTAGCTAGCTATCTTGCTAGCTAACGTTAGCTAACGTTATTTAACTTGCTAGCTAAAACTGCTAACAGCATGGACGAACTTGATGACGTCACGGTGTCGACTTTAAGAGGTAACGTAGTCAAATATACATTTTTAACGTGGTTATTAATTTTTCGTCATATTTATTTTGCACCAGTAACACCAAGAAAAATCCCTTTTAAGTAAAAACCTACTTTGCAATACTTATGATTCATCAGAGAGGTTAAGATCAGCTAAATTTAAACAGATTAAGACTTGCAGTCCTCTCTATAAAATCGGTAGTAACTCTTAATTCTGAACAGATTTGAATGGAATGGTTTTATTATAAATTGGATAAATTTAACTTTATACTGGTTACGTGTTTCAATTAAATCCAGTTACTGGGGTGGATCTACTCTGTTCTATTATACTAAAACATTCGGAATAACCACAACTTAAAATATAAATTATTTAGAATGTATGCTTTTATGAGTTTCTAAAAAATGTAGATTGCTATATACATTCAGTAAATTTGAATTAAAATTGCTTCAGAATTAAGAGAGTTACGACTGATTAAAATGTTTAATTTACCACTCTGATGTGATGCATAATCCACTGAGGTATGTCATTTCTTTATCTATTGTTATATCATGTGTATTTACATTTTTTGATGATGAAGTTCATTCATTTTCTGCTTGTTTAGTAAGTATTTATATCCAACACCATAAGGCAATCACTAAACCTACCTTCATTATCACTAAAAGGAGAATATTAACACAAACTATTTAGGATTATTGTTATAACCTTAGTGGAGTTGTCAATGCTGCATCACAATTTGTGTTAAGACAGTATAAATTAAAAGTTGCTTTTACAAATACTTAATTATCTTTTATTTTACAGGAAACTGTAGACTCAAAATCAACGAGCAGTTCTACTTCTATGATTGGGTCACCCCTATCTCAGACATCCACTCAAGTAAAAAGATGTCCCGCAAAGCACACAACACCTGAAAATGTTGTGAAGTTATCCTTCCCCGAATATGTATTGCACACTGACACCAAACTAGAGCAATGCCGAAAACAATATTTTGAGTTGGCGAAGGCCGGCGAAGAGAGAAACTGCCAAATGTCAAAGGACCTCAGATGTCGGCTCATCCGAAACACCATGACCAGTATGATCGCAATCCTGAGGGCAACGGGGGACAGAGACAGATACCCGTCAAAGCCAGAAATAACAGCTATGGCAAAGCGAACAGTGCTGTACTACCCCATGCTGCAGGGCCGAGACCTGAGCAGCAAGTATGCATGGGTAGGTCAAATGCATCCAGGTGCATGTTTGATGTTTGAAGCATTTATTTGAATTTTTCTTGTCACAGGTTACTGTGTACTCACAGCTATACAAAAGATTGAAAAATTTGAGATCACCCCAAAAGACCAATCCAAAGAGGCGCCGACTCGAGGAGCTAAAGTGCCAACCTGACTGACCCAGATGAATTTGATTCAAGTGACTCAACAGTCATTCTGGATCTCCCCTCAAAAGGGGGTAGCATTCAAGCATTCAAGACTTCCCTTCTGAAGGGAGTAGCACCCCAGACTCGGGCAACAATGCCAGATGTGAGTTCTAACATTACATTTACAAATTTACCATTGTGTGGTGTTCATAGTTTACACTTCTTTTGATTGGAAGACTAATAAACTGGAAGACTCAAACTAATTGCTACCATATTATTTATAAAGTTACTAATTTCTATGAATTAATGCCATGTATTTAATTATGTATATTTCTGTCCTTCATCTAAGATGCCCGCATCTTTGCGTAAGAAGAAAACTCCAAACCGTGAGTCCGTCTCTCAGCTCCTGGGTTTGGAATTTTCAGCCAGAAGAGCATTCATTGATTCTTTTTGCGAGGAGGACAGACACAAGAAAATTCCAGAGGACATTGGACATGTAAGTCATTATTGACTAAGCATAATTTAAAACATGGCACCACACAAAACAATGTCTTGTATGCCAATTTCTGTATCCTACCCAATGCAGTCAAATGTCTTTATTTGTATGTTGGATAGGTGATGGAGGAGCTTCAACGCATTCTGGACAAAAATAACATCCATTACATTGATGAGCTGAAGGGAAGATGGGACGACTTCTGCCAGAAGGTGCAGTTTTTTGGTGTGTGGAAAAAGCTGCTGAAACCCTCAGTAGGAATGGACAAAGGTAAGCAATGATGTTTGATGTTATTAGGGTGGACATTAGGCAGGTTTATGTGCTAGTGTCTTCTTTTCATCTGTGGTGGCTATCCCATGATTTGTGTAACTTTTTTTGTATTTTAGCAGATGTTGTAAACTGTTGGTCAGATTTGACCTTGTATTACACATATTATCCTCAACAATTGAACAGGCTCTCAGTATCCTACGTGTGCTGCCTTCATTGTCCCCCTCTTCATCTGCTCCTCTGAAGAAGTTAGGACATGTGAGTGAGGCTCTTGTGCATGTCCTCAAGGTAAGCAAAATGAATGCACTACTTGGTTAATAGTTTTTATTGACCTAGTGAAGACCTAAAAAGACTGGCCTAGCCCAACAAATGTAAATACATTTATATAGATTCAAATACAGTGTGTTAAGCAACACAATGTTTTGCAGTAGACCCACAGACACATTCTGATATTCTTTATATCTGTGGTTCTAAAGCTTCTTAGACAGTGTGCCACCTCAGTAAATATTGGACTCCTCAAGTACCACTAAAATCACTGATGTAAAAGAAAACCATAGCTCCTCCTCTGAATTTTTCTTTATCCTGATGGAAAGATGTCCATTTTATGTGTTTAAGGAAAAAGAAGACCCCAATGACTATTTGAAGAAACGTCGTCTCTCCTGCCCAGTCCTTATTGTGAGTTTGTCCAACTGCCTCCTGGCTGTAGGAGATGTGCTGATAACTACGCTCCCAAAAGACAAGGTAACACAGGGTGTTTTATACCTTACGGCCTACTATTATGCTCTACACCTTACTTACCCCAGGTGCGTAGCCACTCTGCTCTCTGTCATAAAAACGGAGGTTCTCTTGGACACAATCCATGAGCGAGACCTCACACCATCTTTCAAGAAGGGCATGGCTGACTGGAAAGCTTTTGTTGGCAAGTAAAGCCGTTTCCATTCTTATTTAGCAAATGTTTCCCAATGTTAAGGTCGCAATAATAACAATGTTGTTGATCTATTGAGGGACACAGTGGTCAAATATTTATGTTAATGTTAGCCCAAGACCCATAACTTGTTGCAATAATAAGCACATTGTAAGTGTATTGAGGAGACAGAGGTCAGATGATTATGTCTGACTGTAATCCATGTGTTACACATATATGTCATGTTTTGCTATGTTTTTTTACTATTATTAGTATTTTATTACAGTGCCATACACACTGCGCCAAAACATGACTGGTGCTGCAGGCACAGTGTAACTGACTGACTGCACTGTATTGTAAGAATTGTTTGCTCCCTCCTGCATTTCAGAGCTAAAGAGGCATGCTCTTTCTTATGCAAATAAAATATTTGTTTGTTTAATGCACAACTTGTTTTCATTGAAGTATCCGTTTGTCTTAAATTTAGAACAGTATCACTATTGTAGAGCTAACATTAAGTTAAAAGCACTTGAATTTAGATTAGTTATGATACAAAAGCACTTCTTATGAGTAAAACAATGCATAATATGAGTATTTCCAGCTAACTTCAAGACATTTTTTATCCTAAAATGCTTAAATAATCACTTTTTAATCTTATTTCAAGTTGGTGGTGGTCTAAAATCTAGGACAATGTCACTATTTTAGAACTTTAAATGAGTTAAATACACTTGAAATAAGAGGGATGCCATGAACAGTGAAAAAATAAAAAGCTACTTTTGAGCATTTCAAGCTTATTATGATACACAACACTTTCTAATACTAGTAAAATATAGCTCAAAATAAGTTTACCTGGCTAATTTCAAGATCAATTCCTATCTCAAAAGTCCTAAATATTACATCTTATTTCAAGAAATCTTGACAAGCCGATTTTCACTAGTTCCATTGGCAGATTTTTTTGCTTATTTCAAGCAAAAACGTCTCGTATTTGTTGTTTTTTTACTTATTTTTGGAGGGGCATTTTTTCCAGTGCACCACTGCGGTCTGCCACTCTTTTGCCACTGTCCCAGACTTCCACGCAATGTTGCTTTTAGCATCTCTGGACAGATCTCATCAATCCCCGGGGCTTTGCCCCGGAGGTCACTGACTACCTCAGTGACCTCCACCAGGCAAATTCACGATGATCCCTCCTCCGCCTCCATCTCCGCCTCTACCAAAGAGGGCGTAGTAGTTGGATTCAGGAGTTTCTTAAAGTGTTCCTTCCACCGCCCGATAACCTCCTCAGTCGCGGTCAACAGGGTCCCATCCTTACTCTACACTGCTTGGATGGTTCCCCGTTTCCACCTCCTGATGGTCTTCCAGAAGCACTTTGGTGCCGACCGAAAGTCCTTCTCCATAGTTACCCCAAACTTCTCCCATCTTCGGTGCTTTGCCACCATCACGGCAGAGGCTGCTGCCCTTCGAGCCTGTCGGTAAACTGCAACTGCCTCCAGAGTCCCACCGGATATCATAACCCAGAAGGCCTCCTTCTACAAGTCGGACGGCTTCCCTGACCACTGGGGTCCACCACGGGGTTCGAGGGGTTACCGCCCCTTGACGCACCTAAGACCTCGAGGCCACAACTCACTTCCGTGGCTTCAGTAATGGAAGTTTTGAACATACACCACTCTGGTTCAATGTCACCTACCTCCACAGGAATGTGAGAGAAATGCCCCCGGAGGTGTGAGTTGAAAATCTTTTGGATCGGGGCCTCCTCCAGACGTTCCCAGTTCACCCTCACTACACGCTTGGGTTCACCAGGTCTGTCCCGAGTCTTTCCCCATCCCCTGACCCAGCTCACCACCAGATGGTGATCAGTTGACAGCTCTGCCCCTCTTTACCCGAGTGTCCAGAACATGCAGCCTCAGATCAGACGATACGATTACAAAATCAATCATTGATCTTTGGCCTAGGGTGTTCTGGTACCACGTACACTTATGAACATCCTTATGTCCGAACATGGTGTTTGTTATGGACAATCTGTGACTGGCAAACAGACAACCGCTCGAGTTCAGACACTGCATGAAAAGTGGGATTTTCGGCAGTATGCGGCACTGTAAATTGTCATGGAATTTCAGGTTTGCGGCAATTTGCGGGCAACGCCGAAAACTGCCGTAAATTGTCAGAAATTGATGTGGGCCTCCCTTGGCAGTTGTCCCCCCATGCCCCCCCCTCCTCCTAATTCTAGGGGAGGCTTTGACATGTAAATGAAAATGCTGTGAGCTATACAAATGCCAATCAGGGTCGCAGAGGGAGTTTTAGCCCAGGTGACTTTTTTAAAAGGTAAGAAAATCTCTGGTACAAATAGATCAGGCTCAGTAGCCTAATTATAGACTCTTACATTTTAGCTTGAATTGATTTATTTAATTCAAATATGCTAGATTACTGTGTACGCCATTAGCAATGGCAAATGTTATGTAAAAAAGATACACAAAATAACTTCTTTAAAAAATTAGTTTTAATCAAGGTAAAATGAGCATTCCATGCAAACAACATTTGAATCAGCATGAGGGGTCTGCAGAGATCACAGTCTCCTAGAGCTCAACTACAGTGCATAGTGGCAGGACTACAGTGACCTTTTCTTTGGTCCTACTTAAATGCACAGAGGATGTATTAACCACACATCTTCTAGCAATGCGCTCAACTGGCAGAAATGATGCTGGGTATGACGTGTCTGTTCCCTGCAAGCCCCAAACTTCTATTGGCTTTCCATAAAAATGTCTGTCCGGGTGGAGATGAAGCCAGGAAACTTGTGCAAGAACATGTTTAAATGCCGTACCCTTTGACACAACATTAACAACTATAAACTGCTTTATAATGGCTGGTCGCAGTTCTGCTAGAGGGTCAAGGATGGGTTCCTCTAAACTGTTAGTGTTTCCACACCACTTAGCATAAACACATGCTGACCTTTATGCTCTGCATCTATCGATTGAGTAAGTTACATTCATATATGTTACCTGTTTACATGTCATGGCAAAACATTCAACCTCAGTGACACAAGGGTACATCTGATGATACATTGTCAACATTGCATGTCTGTCAGACTCAAGAGTGTCTGGTGGAATGGAGAAAGAGGCACCACTGTAGTTTTCTAGGGAAAGTCGTTCTGCTGACACCAAAACACTGCTTTACATAAAGCATATCAGCTGTTTCAAAGTCCCAACCATTTGTCTTCCTAAAATACTGGTCCTTCCGTATAACAATAACCTCGTATGTGATTGGAGGACCCTTAGACTCCTCGTCCAATCACGTGTGAGGTCATAGGCATGACTCAGACAGCAGTACTTGCAAGATGAGCATATATTCAGAAGAACTGTATCTCCAGTTCCTTTGTTTGGTTTTTGCTGCTTCGTGAATAATGGCTGGACGACATCTCGCGTTCAACTCGCCTTCAACTCCTCTCCGCGGTCACCAACTTTCGGCCAGTCCGCAGACAGACGAGAAGAAGCTGCTGAATGCTCTCAGTGGATAGTCTCGTCAACTCCAACAACAAACTGCCGATATCAACGAGCGGTTCGCTCCACTGGAGCGTTCGGGACTCTCAGGTTTCTGTCCATGAAGGAGAGGAACTGACTCAAAGAAGAGGAGACGTGCGCACAATCCGACGATAGCGGTAAGAATACGTTCGATGACTGCAAGCTAAGCTAAATATAGCGTAGCCTCAAGCTAAGCTAAGAGTAGCATAGCCTCAAGCTAAGCTAAGAGTAGCCTAGTAGCCTTACAAGTGAGCAGAAACAGCTTCATTAAAGTCTATTTTCTTTGCCGTGTCGTGTACAGGAAGCGGTGCGGCGTCTTCACAACTCCGAGACGAATTACAGGGGTTACGAACCGGAGCAAGGGTAAGATTTAAAGAATATGCTTTCATTCTGCGCTATAAGGAAATATATACGTATAGATACCGATCATAGCTGTACATTTTGTTTTCACAGACTAATCTCGCCTCATGAGGCGGTGACCTCATATTTGCTCCGGTGTTATGTTCTGACTCCCCAGGAGGGGAGTGGGATTCACGCCACTGCCCGAGGACGTCCTGTGACCAGTAAACGGGTATGGCGTCGTAGGTGCAAGAAAACAAACATCACCTGAAGTTGGGGTAAGCAGGCTTTTATTTAAGCGCTGTTAACAGGGGAAATGAGGTGGGCTGGCGGTACCAACGCAAAGAAAAGAACAAAATGCCTCCCACCCCCTTACCTGTCCTATCTCCCAACGAAAACCACTAACTGGCACACTAACAAGGCGCCCTAACCAAACTTACAGTAGGTGGCCCAGCCAGGTGTAGCTAGTGTTGTTAGACAGGAGAGTAACCCTACGTGCAGGTATGTAAACTCCGGAGCAGGGCTAAACTACTCCTCATTCCCCTGTAAGAAAAAGAACAAAAGAAAAAAAAAAATTAATTGAATACACAGTACTGAAAATCACCAGAACTAATAACTACCCCACCATACACCAGCACTCACATACACACATCCAGTGACACCCACCACAGGTGAAACAAACACAGGGCATGATGGGATCGGAGATGAGTGGAAACAGCTGAACCGGGTAACGAGAGTGGGTGGAGCCAAGATGAACGGAGATCATGGATGATCAGTACCACCTGTATGAACACACACACACACACACACGAAACAGAACACATACCTATACACAGAACAGGGGACGTAACACCGGGAAAAGTCCAGATTTAGACGACATCATTGGGTGTAAGTGACACTGTTTATCATTTCTTGTTAAATGTTACTGTGACTTGATTTTGATTTTTTTTTGTATTCATACCACACTCATTTAATTGTTTTCCAGCCACCTGTGAGACGTATTTTGAGACGGGACGCAGGAGCTTCAGGTTCAGGCGGAACACTCATTGCGGGCGGAAGCTGCGAAGGATTCAGCGCGGAGTCGAGCGAGAAGAAAGAGGGTCAAGAGTTTATTTGCTGACTTTTTTTCAGGTGCATTGATAGATGTGTTGTGTCCGTACGCATCGCATCGCACAGTACTGATTCATTGTTGTTTTTACAGCTGCTGGAATCGAGACAAAGTGTGCTGGCTGATGACGAGGTGGAACTCTGGAAATCCGCCACCGTAGAGCTCACGTCGGACGGAGGGGACGGCGTTGTTGGCGGGGTCTTGGGGTGGATTGTACGGTCGCCACACACACACACGAGCCGCCTGCACAACAGACCTGCCTCGGAAAACACGGCGCCAGTGACGGTCTACAACCCCGAGGAGGCAAACGGACAGTTTACTGAGCTGTAGTTTTTAAACCGCCGTTACCCAATTGTGGGCAGATCCTCACTTTGTATGTAGTTGTTGTTGTTTGTGTGTTGTTAATAAAGCTCTTTCTTTGCATAAACATGTGGCAAATGTTCATTTTCTCTATAAATTCATTGATGTCCTGGTTGGTATCCTAATA